GGAGGTGGATGGGCTTGCAGCGGATGGGGTTGGAAAGGAGTAGGCCGCGGGCCCGGCCGGGGTTTCCCCCCACTCCACGTGGTTTCTCTTGCGCGCCCGCGGTGCCGTTGTGTCTGTGTGCGAGTGCGCAGCCTTGAAGCGGCAAGTTTTGGGATTAACAAGCGGTTAGCGTCTAAGTGAAATGGGATGCTTATAATTTGATGGTCTTTTTGCAGGCTGCGAGCTCAAAGCAGATAAGGAATATCAGTTCAAAGTAGATGATGAAGAAAATGAGCATCAGTTATCTCTGAGAACGGCAAGTATTGTTTGGGTTTTGAGTTTTTATTTTTAGGTAATGATGTGTGATGTTGTGAGAAGCAAGTTTTTTAACGTGTACTTTTATTTCCTTAAACTTGTTTTTTGTTTCAGTTTTTTTAAGTGGTAAGTGCTTATATATGTGAATCTGTTAAATAATCTCTTATTGGGAGTGGGGCATACCATGGCACTTGACGTATTTGTGGTACTGGGGGGAAAAAAAAGTTTAAAATAGCCAATGATGTTTTGTCATTTCCAGCAAGCAATAAAAGTCTGGTAAAGTAATGAATTCACAGCAGGTTAACAAGTATATACTAAACGGAATTAAAGGCCAGAATATACAATCTAACATCTCTAATGCAATAGTTCAGATGCTACAGGAGCAGAGGGGGGCAATAGATTTTTAAGAATCATACATGGGTACTTTTTGTAGACTTTTGTTAGAAACTTTATTTTCAAAACTTTTTCATCTATTCAGCAAACGTAATTCTAGTGCTTTTTTTCCGTAAGCAGCCAATAACTAAATCGATTTATTGTTCTTAGTGTTACCCTCTCTAAAGATGTAACTGGGAAGTGCAGTCTTTCGTTCAGATAGTTCATCTAACAGACATGCTGAGCAGAATACTCCTAGAAATCAGGATCTGTACACTGAGAGTTCTTAAATGTGTCCTTCTATCTTCCTGCTGCCACAGCAAGCAAAACACAGTATCCCTGGAGGTGTTCAAGGCCAGGCTGGATGTGGCCTTCGGCAACCCGGTCTAGTGGGAGGTGTCCCTGTCTATGGCAGGAGGTGGTGGAACTCAATGATCTTCAAGGTCCTTTCCAACCTAAACTATTCTATGATTCTATATTTCAAGGCTGTTGCTCTGGGCTGAGCATGTAACTTTGGGTTAGCAGAGAGATAGTACACCACAACTTCATAGGAAAGGAATTGGAAGAGTTGTAGCACCTCTCTACTTTAGGGTTTATTTAAGCACAAAGACACCTTGATGACATCTGGAAACAAGAGTCTTGTAATTATGGATTACTTCCTACAGCAGAATTGCTTCCTACAGGACACTTTATAATAATGCTCTACAAACTTAGTCACAGGGATGCTTACAACACTTGAATATAGGCATTACAGTTTTGTGACTCATGTGTCTTCACTTCTTGCATATTATGAAAATTACAGCCTGGACTTGACAATGACTGATTTGTTCTTAATTAGAATCTTTTTTGAGGGAAGAATATAACAGTAAAGTATGTATAGGACAAATTCATGCAAATAGTTCTTCTGAATGTTTGTTGTGCAGGATTAAATTAGTCAGTGATACTTGAGTTGTATGGCTTTCTCCAAAGATCCAGTTTTTGAAGAATTACCTGTAGCATGTCTTCTGATGCTGTGCACTCTTCATGAGGGATGAAGTAGACTGGATGCATACCAGTACTTAGTTTTTAGGGTTGTAGGGGGGAAAAAAGACTAATTCAATAACCCGGTTTTTTAAAGACAAAAAAAAAGATAGGAGTAATGGAGGTTGACGTAACAAATGAGAAATTGGAAATGTTGAAGAGGCATGGAAGATCTTAAATGTAACTACAAACAGAAAATGCCTTGGCAAGCAGAGGAAGGAGCTGATGGAAGATAAAGCATGAAGGTAGCAAATGCCTGGTGACTGATTTGTGCAGCTGATAAAAGATGAGATGTGTAAAGACTGACATCTGTCAGTTAAGATACAAATATGGTGATGGACTTGGGTATAACGTACAGAAAGAAGCGGGGAGACAAAAGGATAAAAGTGAAGAGAGAGGGGGATTGATGCATGCAGAGGTAGAAAGTGGCATGAGGGTTTCTGTAGATGTCTTGCTACTGATAGCTGAGAACATGAAGTGGGATGGTTACTGCTTCATTACCTATTTATTGCCAGTGTGCATTCCTTCAGTGTAGGAATTATAGCACATGAATGGATACTTTCCAGATGCTCAGTAGATAAATTAAATGCTGCAGGGTTGCTTGAACTGGTGCAAATGACAGTAACTGGGGGTGGAGGGCGTGCTCTTAAATTCTTGTCCTGGTGGGTAGTCCCACTAGCTGAATGATTTCAGTGTTATTGTGACCCCATTTGACAGATGAGGTCAGAGCAGCAATTTCACCTCTTTAAACGTACAGTAACAAAACTTACCAGGAGCAGTCAATCCTACATCCTGTTTCTCAGCCTTCAGTCTGATACATCTTGTCTGGATCATTATAGCCTGCCTAAAAAACAGCTCTTAGAGAATGGAAATTTGAGTTCTTTGCTGCTGCCTGGAGCGTTAAAACCTACATCTTCCATGGAGGGTGGAAAGTTTTCTCTTGATAGGCATTGGGAAAGGAAATGGAGAGCCTTATTCACGTGTCTAGGGAATAATTGCAGTACTTCATCAGGTTACTTTTCACATCTCTTGCATGGTAATCCTGATGCCAGAGGTTCATAGAACTGGAAATTCAGGCCTGTCCCGTGTCTCACTCATTTGCCTCCCTGCAGCTATGATTTTTGAGTCTTCAGAAAGTGCCAGACTTGTATTGAGTGTACGGAGTTTTGAAAGGCTCTGGGACAGCAGCTCTCGGGCCTTGGTGAATTAATGCAGAAGGCGTATGCATAAATGACATACTGAACCGAGCAGTTGTTGAGACTTAACTCCTCATTGAATGTCAGGCAAAAAGTGTGTAGTGTGGTAAAGTGAAGCAATTGACAGATGAAACATGGCAGGAAGGGGAAGGATAAAGGCTGTGATTCTGTAGTAGTGATAGTTGTTTCCCTTCCTCTATGCATAAGCTTGTAGCTCTTCGCTTGGGCCAGCTTCAGTGCTGACTGAACTTGTTGGTGATCCATTTAAATACAATAATCCAGGAGCTAAAGGTCAACTTTTCACTCCCATCAAAAGACGCGCTTTGAGTTGCACCTTGTAAGTGCCGGTGTTATGTGGAAAGAGAATCCTGGGGAGGAGTGCAACTGAATCATTAGCAGTCAGAAATACAAACTTCGGTCATGAGAGATGCGGAATAGTGAATGGAGTTTAAAAGACTCAGAATATTTAGGAAGATTCTCAGTGTGCACTGTTCTTTACTTCACAGGTTACTTTAGGGGCTGGAGCCAAAGACGAATTACACGTTGTAGAAGCAGAAGCATTGGACTATGAAGGCAACCCTATTAAAGTAGTACTGGCATCTCTGAAAATGTCAGTACAGCCTACGGTGAGTACAGGAACTTGTAAATCTATACTATAAATTGGATCTCGGGTGAGAAAGACAAGTTAGAAAAGGCTTTGGTTGACTGAATTTTAGTGTTTTTTGTGTCTAGAAGTCTTACTCTAGTCAACTGGCAATAACAGACTTGTCCAAATTGTGTGTTTTTTTTAAAGATGTGATAGTGATTATGCATGTCATCTTTACATCTAGAAATGTATAGATGCAAGCGGATGCATCTATAGCCTGTGTTGCTTTCTTTGAGCTTGGGATGAGAAAAACCTGTTTTTTCTGCAGGTCCCAAGCTCTTAAAAGATTCTAAAAGTGACTG